TGGAGGTTGTTGTGAGCTGTGATGCCACTCTACCCAGAAAGACAGCTTTAGGCTCTGTCTCAGAAAAAAAAAAAAAAGATCTCCTAAAGTTGGAAATACAACAAATGCAGTCTCTCCATGTGCCAGCCCTCATGTTCCATCCTACCTTTAACCTGTAACTCACCTGAAGGCAGTGAGCCCTTCTGATGTGATGCATGCTGCAACTGGAGAATGTGAAAGCAGTCATTTAAGCAGTTCATAGTGGCCATGGAAGTAGCTTTGAGCATTAAGAGATCCTGGTCCAAGGAACTAAGATGGCCAGAAGAAGGAAGGCATTCAATTCGTCTAATTAAGTCTCTTTGTTGTCCTTCAGCATGGGACATCATCTAAGAAAAACAACAATTCTGTGGGTCCCACTGATGACTTCTGTGTAACATTTATACATACAGTTGCCATTTTAATTACTGTATTCAATGTCTGAGGAATTTTTAAAGACTTATTAGGCTTAGAAATCTCTTAAGTTGGTTTGGTTATTTTAAATTAGTAAGCTTTCAATAGTGCTTATCAACTGAGTAAAAGATTGTGAAATACTGTGACTCTAGGCAGCTATAATTTTTCTCTGGGAACAACAAAGCTCAAAAGCCAAGACACTTTTTACTAACTATTAAACAAGTTAAATTTATATAAATCAGAATGAAATGTTCTAAAACATCTTTTAACAGCGTTATTAAATATTTTGTTCTAAAATAAAATTAATTTAATTTCCAGTCTGGGATCCTGACTACTTTATTCTCACACCTTTCATCAGGCTCCATTTAAACTTACGTTGAGAACAGGATGGTTCATCTGCTGCTTCTTTCCTAACCTAACTTTTAGTATAAGATTTTCAGGTTAAAAGAGTTGAATACACTCTGCTTTATGTCGGACCCCTGTCTACTTGTCCTAACAGAGTCAATGGAATTACAATCATTGATGAGCAAGCCAGATTTTTAGATGAAAATTGTATTTATAATGCCTAATTACTTTCAGTAGTGAACGGAAGGTTTTCAGATGGCCTATTCTTTGAACACTAGTTAATTCACATAGCAACTCAATAGTGGACAGATTCAGCTTTCCAAGGCTCTGTTCCAGGGTTTTATTTTTTTACGGTTTTTTTTTTTTTTGCAGTTTGGCCAGGGTTGGGTTCAAACCCACCAGCCTCAGTATGTGGGGCTGGCTCCCTACCCACTCAGCCACAGGCGCCACCCCCCTCCCCCCTTTTCTGAGACAGAGTCTAACTTTGTCCCCCTCGTCACAGCAACCTCAAACTCTAGGATTTAGTGATTCTCTTGCTTCAGCCTCCCAAGTAGCTGGGACTACAGGTGCCCGCCACAACGTCCAGCTATTTTTTTTTTCTTGTAGTTGTCATCGTTGTTTAGCAGGCCCAGGCCAGCCCTGGGTGTATGTGGCTGGTGCCCTAACCACTGAACAATGAGCACTGAGCCTATTCCAAGATTTTTAATACAATCCATTAGAGGGCTAGTGAAAGAGATGCAAAACGATCCCAACAAAAGGTGTGTCAGGAAACGGCGCTTGAAAATATGCACCATAGGTAAGGATCAAATATTTACTCTTTCTAGAAAAAAAAGGTTTTAAAAGAAAAGTGTGGCTATGAATGTATCTATGAATACACATTTATACATGCACATACATATATGTGGGCTTTGTATGTGTGTAAATGTTTTTGTATATAAATTTGGGGACCAACTCCCAATAATCCAACCTTATGAACAGGTATAACCACTTTGGAATACAGCTTGGCAACATCAATTAGATCTAAATAAATATATATAATTTATGATCTAACAATTATACTTTCAGCTATGTCCAATAGATAAACATACATATGTTCACCAATTCAAATGTCCATCAATAATAGAATGTATAAAAAATATTATGGCATATTCATAAAGGAATAGTATACAGCAATGAAAAGATAGAAACAGCTATACTCAACATTATAAGTAAATCTCAAAAATACAGTGTAGACTGAAAAGCCATACTCAAAAGACTACATACTACATGATTCCAGTTTTACAAATTTCAAAAACAGGCAAAATAAATCCATTAGGTTAGAAGTCAGGAAAGAATAGGGAGAAAGGGTGTTATGACAGAGAGGCAAGAAAGTAGGGTATTGGTAATATCTTAATTTGTTGATCCAGGAGGTGGCTACATGAAAACTACATCAAGAGGTACACTTGTGATTTATATACTTTTTTATAATATGTTACCAGGCAACAAAGGATTTTTGTTTTTGTTTTTTTGAGACAGAGTCTCACTATATTACCCTCGGTAGACCTAGCTCACAGCAACCTCTAACTCTTGGGCTTAAGTGATTCTTTTTTTTCTCTTCTTTTTTTTTTTGTTTTTTAGAGACAGAGTCTCACTTTGTCGCCCTAGGTAGAGTGCCGTGGTGTCACAGCTCAGAGCAACCTCTAACTCCTGGGCTTATGCGATTCTCCTGCTTCAGTGTCCCAAGTAGCTGGGACTACAGATGCCCGCCACAACGCCCGGCTATTTTTTGTTGCAGTTTGGCCAGGGCGGGTTCGAACCCGCCACCCTCAGCATATGAAGCCAAGGCCCCTAAGCAATTCTCTTACCTCAGCCTCCCAAGTAGTTGGGACTACAGGAGCCCACCACAGCACCTGGCTATTTTTCGTTACAGTTGTTCATTGTTGTCTAGCTGGCCCAGACTGGGTTTGAACTCACCAGCCTCAGTATATGTGGCTGGCGCCATAACCACTGTGCTATAGGCGCCAAGCCGGCAACAAAGATTTTAATAAAGAAAAAACTTTTGACTGGGCTCAGTGACTCACTCCTGTAATCCTAACACTCTGGGAGGCCAAAGAAGGTGAATAGCTTGAGCTCACTGGTTCCAGATCAGCCTGAGCAAAAAGGGAAACCCCTGTCTCTACTAAAAAATAGAAAAACTGGCTTGGTGCCTGTAGCACAGTGGTTATGGCACCAGCCACATACACCAAAGGTGGCAGGTTCGAACCCAGTCCAGGCCGTCTAACCAACAACGGCAACTGCAACAAAAAATAGACGGGCGTTGTGGTGGGCACCTGTAGTCCCAGATCCTTGGGAAGCTGAGGCAAGAGAACTACTTGAGCCCAAGAGTTTGAGGTTGCTATAAGCTGTGACGCCACAGCACTCTACTGAGGGTGACATAGTGAGACTCTGTCTCCAAAAAAGAAAATAATAATATTTTTTTTTGAGATAGTCTCACTTATATATAATTATACATAATTATACATTTTATATATATACACACACACACACACACATATATATATATATTTAAAAGACAGATGTTAATGGGCGGCACCTGTGGCTCAGGGGATAGGGCACTGGCCCCATATACAGAAGGTGGCAGGTTCAAACCTAGCCCCAGCCAAACTGTAACAAAAAAATAGCCGGATGTTGTGGCGGGCGCCCTGTAGTCCCAGCTTAGGGAAGCTGAGGAAAAAGAATTTCCTAAGCCCAGGAGTTGGAGGTTGCTGTGAGTTGTGACACCTTGACACTCTACTGAGGGCGAGAAAGTGAGACTCTATCTCTCCAAAATAAAAAATATATATAGATGTTAAAATGTTAAAAATTGGTAATGGTTTTCTCCAAAACAAATGAGTTGATTACATATAGCCAAAGAAATTAAAAAGCGATTTGTGACACAGTTTTAGTGACTGCTCCTGACACTATGAAACTAGATCCTTAAGAAAGAAAGAGAAAACTTCCGGAAAGCTGAAAATTTGGTTAACCTATGTTTTGCAGCCAGATATGGCAAATATGGTGATAATAATGTATCATTCAGATAGGATCTAGTTTGTTCAAAAATCAGATTAGAACCATGATTTTAATTTACTTGTATTTTGTCTATTTCACTCACTAGAGTGATCATTTAAGCCCAAGAACCCAGGAAACAGCATAGTACCAACAGGAAGCATGCACTGAAAATGGGGTGAAAAATAGTAAATGTTAAAACAGATAATTTAAAGTTTTTGTAATATGTGCTCAAGCACGATATTATACTATTCCCAATAGTCAATTGCTTTTGCCAGCTGTTACTTAATCTAACTCTGCATTTACCAATGGACTTTAATTAAAATGTTCCTTTCAAACACACTTTGAATTATATCTTTGCATCACAACATTACAACATCCTGGAGCTTGGTAATTCTAGTAAAGGAATTCTCAAAGTGTACTCTGTAGACTCCCGTAGGACTCCTTTCAGAGGGTCTTTGAAGTCAACCTACTATCATTAATAATTCTAAAAAGTTATTTGCCTTTTTCACTGCAGTGACATTTGCATTGATCCTGCAAAAGCAATAGTAGGTAAAACTGCCAGAATGTTAGTGAGGACAATCCTACTAGTGGTCATTATATTCTTCACCTACCATGCACTCACAAAAGAAAAAAACCCACTTTTACTTAAGAATGTCCCTGAAGGCTAGACATAGTGGCTCGTGTCTGAAATTCTAGCACTCTGGGAGGCCAAGGCGGGTGGATTGTTTGACCTCATGAGTTCAAGACCAGCCTGAGCAAAAGTGAGACCCTGTCTCTACCAAAAATAGAAAAAAAACTGAGGTAAGAGGATCCTCAAACTTGAGCCTGAGTTTGAGGTTGCTGTGAGCTATGATGCCAGAGCACTCTACCCAAGGTGACAACTTGAGAGTCTATCTCAAAAAAAAAGAAGAAGAAGAAACTGAAAAAACAGTTAAAATAATTAAGTTTACTGTATCTTGACTCTTGAGTACATGTTTTTTAAAATTCTTGGGCATGATGGCTCATACCTTTAATCCTAGCACTCTGGAAGGCAAAGGCTGAGCCAAACTCCTTCAGCTCAGGAGTTTGAGATGAGCCTGAGCAAGAGCAAGACCCCATATCTACTATTAATAATAACAGAAAAATCAGTTGGGCATTGTGATGAGTGCTTGCAGTCCCAGATACTCAGGAGGCTGAGGTAGAAGAATCTCTTGAACCCAGAGTGTGAGGTCACTGTGAGCTAGGCTGATGCCATGGCACTCCAGCCTGGGCAACAGAGTAAGACTCTGACTCTGAAAAAAAAATTTTTTTCCAAAATGTCTATACGTCCCAAAGCAATCTACAGATTCAATGCGATCCCCACTAAGATCCCAACATCATGCTTTCAAGATTTGGAAAAAATAATTATTCGTTCTATATGAAACTAGGAAAAAACCCATATACCTAAGGCAATTCTTAGTAATAAAAACAAGGTTGGGGGCATCAGCCTACCAGACTTTAGGCTGTACTACAAGGCCATAGTGATCAAAACAGCATAGTATTGGCACAAAGACAGAGATACAGACAACTGGTATCAAATAGAAAACCATGAGATAAAACCATGTCTATAAAATCCTACAGCCACCTGATCTTTGCTAAGCCAAACAAGAACATTCCTTAGGAGACAGAAGCCCTATTCAATAAATGGTGCTGGGACAAATGAATAACCACATGTAAAAGACTGAAACTGGACCCGCACTTAACTCACTAAAATTGATTCAAGATGGATAAAAGATCTAAATCTAAGGCATGAATCAATAAAAATCCCGAAGAAAGTATGAGGAAAACACTTGAAGTTATCAGCCTAGGGAAAGACTTTATGAAGAAGACTTCAGTGGCAATTCCAACAACAACAAAAATAAACAAATGGGACTTAATTAAACTGAATAGTTTCTGTACAGCTAAGGAAACAACCAAAGCAGACTGATAACTATCAGAAGGGGAAAAGATATTTGCATATTATGAATCAAACAAAAGCTTGATATCTAGAATCTACAGAGAACTCAAATTAAGCAACAACAAAAAAAAGCCAACAATCCCCTATCAACGGGTACATGAGATGAACAGAACCTTCTCTAAAAAACACAGATGATTGGCTAATAAGCATATGAAAAAGTGCTCATCATCCCTAATTATCAGAGAAATGCAAACCAAAACCACCGTGAGATATCACCTAACTCCAGAGAGATTGGCCCACATCACAAAAACTAAAAGCTGTAAACGCTGGCGTGGTTATACAGAGAAAGTAACACTTTTACACTGCTGGTAGGACTACAAACTAATACAACTCTTTTGAAAGGAAGTAAAGAGAATCCTCAAAAAAAACTAGACCTCCCATTTGATCCTGCAATCCCATTACTGGGCATCTACCCAGAAGAAAAAAAAATCCTTTTATCATAAGGATATTTGTACTAGATTGTTTATTGTAGCTCAATTTACAATTGGCAAATTGTGGAAACAACCTAAATACCCACCAATCCAGGAATGGATTAACAAACTGTGGTACATGTATACCATGGAATACTATGCAGCTATTTAAAAGGATGGTGGACTCGGCACCCATAGCTCAGTGAGTAGAGTGCTGGCGACATACATGGAGGCTGGCGGGTTTGAGCCTGGCCCAGGCCTGCTAAACAATGAGACCTACAACCAAAAAAATAGCTGGGCGTTGTGGTGGATGCCTGTAGTCCCAGCTACTCAGGAGGCTGAGGCAAGAGAATCACCTAAGCCCAAGAGTTGGAGGATGCTGTGAGCTGTGACACCACAGCACACTACCAAGGGCAACATAGTCAGACCCTATCTCAAAAATAAATAAAAAAATAAAAAATAAAAAGAATGGTGACTTAGAAATCCATATTAATTTAGATGGAGTTGAAATACATTCTTCTTAGCAAAGCATTACAAGAATGAAGAAGCAAGAATCCAATGTACTCAATTCTGATATGAAGACAATTCATGCTAGCTGATTGTGGGGGGAGGAGGGAGGGGGAGGGGAAAGAGGGAAGGAGGGAGGGAGCTGTGGGGCCATGGTGTGTCACACACCTCTTGGGGGCAGATCACTATTAATAGAGGGACTTCACCCAGTAAATGCAAGCAGTATATATAACCTGGTTCATTGTACTCTCAATGATTCCCCAACAATAAAATTTAAAAAAAAATTCTCTCTGTGAAAAATGGGAAATACACAAAATATTTCTGTTGCATACCAAAGCACAGAGGTGGCTTAGAAGAACAGTACCTGTGTGACTGAGTTGCAAGTTGAAGTACCCCATTTTGTTCACAGATTACTATTCTGATGTGAAAAAATGACTGAAAGAAATTATGGCTTATCAGGCTTGGGAGGATGTGGCAGACATTTTA